ACCCTCTGTCCCCCACACATTCCTTCATCTGTAGTATTTGATATATATTTGCGTGTATATTACGCAGTTTTTAACCCTTAACGGGGCTTGTCGAACTGATGGTGTACATTATCGACAGTGACTCGTATTTTTTATATGTTCACTGAAAGTAGAAGCCTCTATAAAGCTATAATGTCTAAACTGATACTCATATGATATAACAATTTTCTGTGATCAGAAGTTAACTGTAACGATGATAGTAATATCATTGAATCCGCGGAAATAAGAAACAGTTTTACTTACCAAACATCTTCAAATGTCAAATCGCTTGGTTGGTAAATGTCTAGTTTATAACCGCTTCCAAAATTTAACTCTGCAAATCCACTGTTTTAAAATCGGAATGTGGAAATGGAACAATACAACTATATCCTCAAGGACTTAACAATGTAATCTGTTGAAACGTTGTGTTCAATAGGATTCAGAAATATTTGTCCATAAAACTGACGATGACGTTGTAAACTGTTGAAACATTGTCTTCCTTACATATCGGAACTTTTTAATCCTTAAAACTGAAACTTGTTGAAACATTTCATCAGTAAATTTCGATCATAAGAATGTTGGCAAACCCAGAAATAGCTGATGGTTTCAATGTAATTAATCCATAAAACTTACTCTAATGTAATTTGTTGAAACGTTGTGTAAATTAAAATACCACAGTAGTATAATATCAAATTTACTCTAAAAGATCCCAAAATGAATATTTCCATACATTTATGCGTTCTTCAACGTCAACAACTATTTTCAAGTGGTTTTAGACCTAAGAGTGGTATTCTTGCGTTTTTTCGTTCTTTCAAGGAAATTTGTTTGTTGTATAATAGACTTAGCCTTGTATAAGATGATAATTGAGAAGACAAAACACACGGAAAGTGTCAATATATATAATTATATTGTTTATAGAAAAGGTAAATACGACGGTGTATATCTCGTTTCTGGTTGGTTAAAGGCACAATCCCGCATCTTCACAATGTCAAGCTATTACGAACTTCGTCTAATACCTTGACTACAATAGTCACCTTTATTGTATCATGACTACTATTGCCACTATTCTTGTTTCACAGGTTGTAAATGCAGCATTTGATTGGATTGTACGCTCGCGAATATAGCCAATATTTCGACTTTATGTCGATCAATCCAATCAAATCGCTGCATTTACAACCTGTGAAACAAGAATAGTGGCAATAGTAGTCAAGGTATAAGACACAGTAAAAGCTTGACATTGTGAAGATGAGTCCAGTCAAACACTAAAGCTAAGTGGCCTTTTCTAAGAATCATTCGTTGGGGGTACGTATAATGATCAGTGGGGGGTCACACTCTGATCTATCTATTTAGACAATAAAAATGAAATTTGAAAGTAGGAGACCAAACAACACACACAAATAAAAACACATTTTCTAACAAATTTTTAATATGGAATACATTAGAAGGAATTGCACATGAAGGTTTGGGATCAAACTATGAAAGTTATATAAATATTGTAATTATTATTATATACATCATATCACAATTTTACTTCTATAATATACAGGCCAATTGTATTTATGCACGTGCATTTGTTAAAAAACAATGCAATAAGTTTACTTGTTTGAAACATCTGTCTCTATACAACCCTCTGATATATATTCTTACAGTTATTGGAAACACCAGACGACAATTTGCACTATATCTATCAGAGACTGGAATAGAGGCAGATGTTTCGGTCTATAAGTTTGCTAGAATTTGTACACCGGCGTAAACTCTCTCTCTCCCTCTCTCTTAGCTGTAGGAAAGTCCATCCCTCACCCAAGTTGCCATCTATTCGAGATTTTCGCCAATTATCATTTTTGCCATTTATTCCACCCTAACAAAGTAGACTGTTCTTAGTTTTTGGGGCATGCACGTGTAGAACTATCCTTGACCTACAATACATTTATTTACAAGATTAAGGCGAGATCTAAGCAAAGGTTAAGTCTTTTCTATTCTGTCATTTGAATCTAATTGAGACGTCTTCAAAGAAAATGGTACATTTATCTCCGACACTACAAGCCATCAAAACATCTCTAAGAGCTTCTGAGAGAAAATGTAAGTCTATACCCTGAACACAAACAACTATAGTAACAAACTCAAACTTAAACTGCCATCAGGAACTGGAATTGGTTTTACAAGGATTTTATCCAATGTATAATTTATCATACAAAATAAATATAATATCACATCCATCAACAAGTTGAGGAAGACGCCCAGAGAGTTTTTCTGAATTTTAAGAACTAAGATTCTAACAAATGTAATTGTATCATACAAACAAGTGTATATCTCATCCATCTATAATTCAGTCAGGCCAAGTAGGAAAATGCCTGTCTGCATGCAATATATATATATATATATCCACTGAAATCAATTCAACTTTAAGAAGTGCGTATTATACAAACTAGCGCATTATGTATGAAAATATACAGTATATAATTCATGCTATTTTACAATTTTAGAAGAAAGACTATAAATCATGCAATCTTAATATATGATAATTTTAGCAAAGAAAAGAAAAACTAAAAATATTTCCTAAACCTTTTTCATCTTAAAACTACATTCAAACATAATTACAGATATGATTGATAACAGTGGCTCAACCAGATGATGCCTCCCCCCCCAGGGGTTTTGTTTTAACATATCCTCTGCATTCTGCGATCCTATAGTCACAATTGAATGCCTGTTAATGATTTGTTGGAGTAGTCAGAGGCTGTAGGTGGATTAAAGGCACTGGTACTATGCTGCCCTCTATAGTAAAGGAAAGGACTTAGTAATTTTCATGTATTAGGGCCCTCCCAGCCAGTCAAGGCTGACATAAGACCTCATTTTCTTAAATAAGGACATAATATCGGCCTTGATAGGGCCCCAGTATAAGTGTGTTAACCTTTTAGATAATAACTTTGATACAGTTTTTTTTAATATTGCATTAAGGGTACTGTACACTTGGTTCAACCAGTAGTAGTAGTAGTGGTAGTTGAGCCACTAGGTAAATACATACAACCAAACAGATATTGAAAAAGAATTCTACCAGATTGTTAAAATCAAAAGATTTGAAGATGGGTTCCCTTATTTTCATTTATGAAAATGTTCATACTTATATAAATAGAAAGTAGAAGTGTTCTAATGATTCGGAAAAATGCCAGTTTGTCTCACATGTCCATAATTAATTCATAATTAGCTAAATTAGAAGAGAATTAGCAGAATTCCAATAAGTGACCAATCAAGAAAGGTCAAAAAGTCTTTTTTTGTTTATCAAATTCAAAATGATATATACAGATAATGACACTAGGTTTAACAACATAAAATAGTTCAAATAATCTGTAATTCTCTACAATGTTCCTCCTATTGCTGGATGCTGTCTAAACTAATTGGTCAAATCTAACTTCTGAGACGACATCTTTGAGTCATGAAAGTTAAAAGAGTTAAGTAGGGATGAATGAAGGGAGCATAAATATACTAGGATGTCTATGAAAAGGAGTTTTACATCCTACTTTTCTACAGCCGATTGAGTTAATGAATGCCATGCAGTGTGCAATGATGGAAAGTTCTCTACAGACTCTGATACAGTTCCAAATAGCTATCTGATCTCTAATAAAAATGTACTTCATTGCCTATATAATAATCGATGCAGTCAATCATTCAAAATATATTGAACATTTTCTGCCAATTTTAACAAATCTTTATGCCTAAAACACTCAGAAATATCTAATGTACACATCTCAACATCAATACAGGGTCGTAAACTAGGGTTTTTCCTACAAGACAAAAATCATTAGTTGAGGGATCTGGTGGTAGCCAAAGGCCCCAGGTTTCTCTGGCTTAAATGATTTGTTAAATTCACCTTGTGCCTTTTGTAGAGCATTGATGTACTTACGGCCCAGTCAATGATCTTTCATCACAATTACTAACAAAAATACTGTCATGAATAAATTAATGCCTTTATATATGCCTGCATAATTTGTCATCAAATTTGTCATGGAGAAAATCAAAAGCTGCCACCTTTAATAAAACATCAACTTCAGTTATTTCGAATCAGGCTTAGTTAAGAAATCAGTTGATGGTAAATCTTGGCTGTCCTCTGCCGGTGTTGTCGGTTCGCGAACGTTTATCATATGAACTTTCTGGTCTTTATACTTGATATTTTCTTTATTCATAATGATCTTTTTCTTTTCACTGTAAAATAAAATGTCACATGGAGTTTTACTTCTTTTACAAACAAAAAAACATGAAAAATAAAAAAAAACAAAGTATTAAAGATCTGAATCACAAAATGAAACCCAAAATACAACACATACACAATAGACTAGTAATACATTGGTAGCAACTAATGAACTTTTCAGATGAAATTAAATGCATTGGAGTTTAAAAATTTACTTCATGCTTTAGATTGACATTCACCATACAAATAAAAACATGGAATTCAAGTAGAAAGACCATAAGATAAAATATTTTTTCATTCGAATTTATAATCTCAAGTTTTTTTGCATTCTGGTAATTGATATTAGTGTTTTCCTAACACAGAAGATGGAAAATTATACATCAAGGGAAATAACTTTATTTAGTAAGAAAATATCAAACTACAATCATTAATCAAAATATCTGTAACAATGTGAGGCGCAAGAAATGAATAAAAGGGCGACAAGTTGTGTTCAACTTCAATGATGTATCCCTCAACACGTCATATATATAAAGCGGGGCTTACAAATTACCAATCATGGTCTAGGCCTAGTATTAACGGGAGATAACTCTTTAATCATTAATACTTAATTGATAATGTTACAATATCAAATTCTTCTACTTTATAATTCTCATTCACTCTCCAGTCTCCACAAAACATTCTCTGTAGAATCATTGTATATGAAAATTTACAGAACTAATGATTGTTCTTCAATATACCCAACCATCTTGATATCATGATGACCCAACAAGGGCTGAAAACGTTATGACACACCCACTTTATGATTGACAGGTCAATGAAAATATAAGGAATAAATGTAGACCTTGTTATCGTTATGGTGATATAAACGCTGGTTTATCATGTGACAAGACGTACATGACTCGCCCCATTGGGTCATGTACGTCTTGTCACATGATAAACCAGCTTGTATTTCACCATTCCTTAAATACAAACATAGCTTCAGGTTGATTATACTTACTTTTTCTTGACATGTAGAATAATAAGCACAGTAATACAAATAATAAATACAGCTCCACACGCTATTCCAGCAAATACACCGTGAGGTATCCCATCATCCTCTTCCTGGTTTAATTCACCCACATCACCGGACCCTAAAATATGACAATGATGCCTTATCAATACTATCAAGATGTATTGTGTGCAATGAGGGAAATTTGGCCCAGATACTAGTTTTAGTCTACAATATAACAATGATATAAATTTAGAGTTAAATTAAGTTGACCCAGGTGTAAATGGATACAGATAATCTGGGAAAGATCAATGTCAAGAGGTTTGGCCAAGGACCAGCTGGTAGAAAGAATCCTTTGTAAAATTAAGTTGTTAAACTTATAAAATATATTTGTTTTTTTAGACTACAAGAAGTTAAAAATCAACTTACTTATACAGGTTCTATTTGGTAGCTGTTTAAAACCAGGACAACATTCTGTTACTATTGAATAAAATGTTTTCGTTTCGTTATATTTCCTCTCGCAGTACGTGTGTCTGCAAAAAAAAATATCCAAGTTTAAGAAAAAATGAAAGATTGCGTACAGAATGTATCAAATAATCAAACACACGCTTTACCTTGTTTCTGAAAAATATGGTGTGTAAGAGAGTATTGAGAAATATCGGAACAAAAGTTTTGGGTACTGAGAGTTTTACACTGAAGATTGCATAGTGTGAAACGAGGCCCGTAACCAGCCCACTGTGCCGCATTTGCATTGAGGGCAATAGCTGATAGAGACTGCATTCAGCTTCAATTGAGAATTTGTTGGGGGGGGGGGGGGGGGGGGGGGAAAAAAATTTTCAATGGGGGGGCAATGTGTAAAAAAATAAGGATACCCCGCCTGAACTATTAAGTAAAATAACTTAACCCTAACCGTTACTTGGCAAAGGGCCCTTTAAAAGTTGAAAAAATTTAACAGTCAAAACTTTGTAAAAAAAAACCGATTTACTTTCGGGCTACCCACCCAAAAAAAGGGCCCTGTTCCCTGGAAAACCAACCCCAAGCTGCCTGAAACGACTGAAAAAACGGCTCCCTTTTCGAAACCTGTTAGGATTGTCATGCTGGATCTTCGAAATTGCATAAATGGTGTTAATCTATCAAGAACCAGTGCCAATGCCAAGGGGTTTGACCAAGGGCCAGATAACAGGATCCTTAAAAGACCTAAGTTGTTATACTTCTAAAAGCATTGCCGAGAGAGGTTTGAGGGACATATGGTAGACAGGGTCTTTAAAAAGGTTAGAACTTATTGGTAAGAGGTTTGATCAAGGATCCTAGACATGAACCTTAAGGACTTCGTTTTTTGCTTCTTTTTTCATAACTACTATTATTTAATCTGATGAAGAGGCTTAGTCCAAAATATTTGCCTCTATTCCAGCCTACTCCAGCAGACAACTGTTGAAATAGCTATCAGAGGCTGGAATAGAGGCAGATGTTTTGGATTAGATGCTAGCTATCCAATAAATCTGAAATAATTTTCAAGATCACCTACCTAACTGGTGTAAATACTGATAATAATAACACTAAAACCACACATAAGAGTTTATTCTGAGAGATAACATTCATCATGTGACCTAATTCACTCCATATTTTCTCGTCGACATGAAAATTTCGTCTTTTTTCACCATCAACATTTCCTGGATGAGTTCGTCTTTGTTGATCTCCATTTTGTCTCAACTCACAAAAGTTTGCTTCCATTTTTATTGAAATTGAATCCAAAAGAAATTCGTCCAATAATCCTAACTATTCGAACATACTCCTACATTGGCTAGAAACACACTTTCTGGACTAAAATCAAAGTTTAATTGGTTTAAAATGTGAACTTTGTACTCAATATTTGCAGTCAGCTGTCAATTCCCCGATATAAACAACATAATAACCTTTGACCTCTTTATTGGCTTCGTACATTTTATTATCATAAATTAACGAAACGGAGGTATATTTCATTTTTTTATCTTGATATTTGCTCCAAAATAGAATTTGCATTTAGAAGAATACGTTATGTATAATGGAATTAGAAGTTATTGTAAAGTTTTTTCACTTCTTGACTAAAGAATTCGATTTTTAATAAACCCTGACCTATGACCTATGAACTTTGACATGTAAACAACGTGGTTGTCAAATTCAAAGAAATCTGAAGATAAAGCAAAAATGGCTGAAAATCTAGAAAACCAACTAGTTTTGAAAAAATCCAAAATGGATCCGGATTTAGATGGAGTCGGTGAACAGAATGGAGAGAGTTTTAAATTTAGTACAGATCTTTCTTTAGAGAAAATGTAAGAATCAAACACGCATCTACTATCAGCAGAGACTGCATGTAAAGCATTTACCACAAACATCTTTCCTTATTAGTTTCAAAAAGATGCATGGAGTAATTCCAAAGTCTTGTGATGCCTGGCTCGAGTTTGACTTCGTTATTCATTGATTATTTCAACATAAATACTTCAAATTAATACACAATCTTATAGAATTATAAACAGTATTTTTGGCTGGTCCTTTTTGACTTCTTTTTGTATGATTGAGTTGAAAATTTCAATGAAATGAAATAATAATTTTTGGGGCCATTTTGACCAAATCGGAGTCAATTGACTATAACTTGTTTTGACATTTCTATATCAAACTATTTTAACAGTAAATATATTTTATTATTGTAACCTGTATATATTCCAGATTTTAAGAAATACAGTAAATAAAAAGACGCTGGCCAGGCTTTGGCCCCCTCACCCCCTTTTTTATCATTTTACATAGTGAAAGAATTGCCTGTGGTCCCCTTGGAAATTTTGCGTCCCCTGCTTGGCCCCCTCACCCCCCTCACTTAATATTTCCTAGAAACCACTTCCCAGAGGAGAAGGCTTTTAATCATCTCATGTTTTCTCTTCTAGTCGTAAAATTCAGGAAGAGTTTTGTGAGGAGAGGAATTGGAATCAGTACCATTCTCCACGGAATATTTTACTAGCACTGGTCGGGGAAGTGGGAGAGTTGTCTGAAATATTGTAAGTACAGTATAAGCGAGGTTTTCTTTATTTCAGTGGTGGTGCCATCCTCCTGGTATTGGGGGTACAAATAGGGGGTAGACCAACTTAATGGAGTAGGAGGGTGGACAAATGTCTGAGTTGAGATTCTAAATGTGGATACGCCCATCTTATCGCAAGCATCAAATTGAGGCTATTGGGAGATTGTTCTCCCCCAGAAAATTGTTATGCCTCTTGGACTTGGCATCCCTCGCTAAAACTGATAATATCACTACCAATGGTGATTTGGAATAAATTATTTGAAATGTAACCACAGTCAGTGGATTTTCTTTCCAGAAATCATTAAAATAAATTAATGTTTATCAGAAAGTCAGGATGGGGTCCTTTCCTGTTATTTTGAATTTCAGGTTACATTTTGCTGTTCGAATAATTAGTTCTTGTTTTTCTCAACTCTTATTCATTTATTAAAAATTTTGTTTGTTTTAAAAGTGACAACTGTTTATATTCTTTCAGTCAATGGAAAGGTGAGGTTAAGAAAGGTTTACCAGGTAAGATTTTCAATCTATCATCTTTTATCATCTCATATACATGATTAAATTTGAGTCAAAAACAATTGGTATATTTTATAGTGATGTAGGTAATAAGTCATTTAATTTACCATTTAAAGAATTCACAGAACAAAAAAAAAAGACATGTTGGTTCAATTATATTTGTAATCAAATTCTCTATAATGGCTTGTTGTATTCTGATTTTTTTATTTTTTATAGTGATGTTAGTAATAAGTCATTTACTTTACTAATTTCAGAATTCACAGAAAAAGAGAAAGAACATGTTGGTCAGGAATTAAGTGATGTTTTGGTATATTTAATTCGACTGGCTGACCGTTGTCACGTAGATCTCTCGACAGCCGTTCTCAATAAAATAGAACAAAATAGACTCAAATATCCAGCTGATAAAGTTTACGGTAAAAGTGAAAAATACACAGAATATATAGAAAAGTAGTGATTATTCTAGCTCTGCTATCAAAGTGTTCATAATTTCATTATTCATTTATTATATAATTATAAGGACTGCTAATGTTGTTACCAGCTACAGAAAAACACACGAGATATCCCAGTATATAATTGAATTAGGTTACCTCCCTCTGAGCTTTAATTCCGTTTTTTAATACAAAATAACACGATGCTTTTAACTTTGATTCTTATTCTTTTGTTAACTGTTTCAATATTGATCATTTTGGTTATATCTCATTATATCTGTTGTAAATTATGAAACATATTATGTGAAGGTTAACAATGATAATGTAAATAATTCAGATTACATCATGAATCTCTTGTTTTTTTAAATAAACAATTAAACAAATTATTGCTGTTTTAGAATGAAAACTTGGACTCAGATGATCTTGTCTATTAGTTATTTCTGAGCTAAAACTCTGGCAATGGTCTTGTTGGATTAACTGTATCCTGTATTTACATTTTGATTTGCAAGATATATTGGGAAAGATGAGAAATTGATTACAAACTCAATATGTGATTAAAAGATATTTAAACGGACACAAATGTCTCAGTAAATTCCAGCTGATTGAGCTCTATCCCAGCTACGCATTTTAAGCTCTTTTTAGTGCTACAACTGGCTGAGATTTAGCGCAGGCAGCTGGTAATTTGAAAATTTATATAACTATTCAAATTGAGCTCTATCAAATATTTAGACTATACAGATAGCTGAAATTGAGCTGGTTATGACTGTTATCTTTAAAAAGATTATTTCTACATAATGAAATAAGTGATAACATAAAAATAATAATTTAATGTTCGTTTGATAAATATACATGTAAAATCACTTGTTCATTATAGTACATAAGTATCACAAACTGGACCAGTCCAGGACCTCAAACTCCCCCTAAAAAATTAATATATACTTCATTATTATTTTACTTCAATTTGCAATTTATGCATTCTTGTTTCCAATAATTTAATACAACAGAATCTTAGATCATTAAATTAATGAAATATTGGACAGACCGACTCATTAAAATCAAATTTTCCTTAAAAATTCATGAAAAGTTTTGAAGCAATAGATTTACTTATAAATATTAGAATTTTTCCCAAAGATTCATGAAGATTTTTAAAGCAATAAATTTCACCCACATTTTAAAAATTTAATAATTTATTTCTTCTTCTTGCCCTTCTTACCACCTTTTTTCTTCTTAGATTTAAGAGCTTTTCTGACTTTGAATGATCTCCAGAAAGCTTGAATGGTTGTCGAAGCTCGAACCATACGTGCCATCTCCTGTTCTGCCTTCTCGCGTCTTTCACGAGCCAATCGTCTTTCTTCTTGTATCTGTTTGTATTCGGCCTCAAGAGTTTTAAATCTCTCTTCGAGTTCGTGAAGTTGTTTCTTTTCTTCCGTGTAAATTTCATCTATCTCCTCGTATTCATCCTGCAAGTAGAAATTGTCACAGTAAAGTGATATGGTCCTCAAATTATAGGGTTTAGTCAAGATAGGGCAAACATATTTAACCATTTCTGGTTAAAAGGATTGTAGAGAGGTTTTCTAAAAAGTTTAAGTATGTGATTAGGGAACACTGATAGCAACAATTATCACAATTTCAATTTTCAATCAGACATCTGTAGTTCTTGCAATTCCACTTAAAATGTGCGTTTTAAGACTTCACTATCACAAAGATCCTTATACATCAATAGCAGCTCTTCTTGCAATAGTGACGTCATTAAATGCTTAATTTTAGTGGAATTGCAGAAGCAGGTAAAAAAAAGAGTGGGGTCAAATTCTCCTCATTGCACACTTGGCTCTTGCCTACAACATTCAAAATAGAAAATAGACTGAATAGAAAATGTAGATGTAAATTTGTACCAACCTGTCTCTCTCCCATATCCTGATCGAATTTCTGGATCCAATTTTCTACCTCAGTTTCAACTTTAAACTTCCTCTGTGAATATAATGTGAATAATTATGAGTTTAAAGAATGGATATCAGAATATAGAAATTGTCAATAGAAATTGTCAATATGGATATTTTAGCTATGAATCTCACGAAGCAAGAATGATATGCATTTCTTACAATTTTTCAATTCATAAAGCTAAAAGAAAGATGTTTGTGGTAAATAATTTACTTTAAATCTGACAAAACAAGATTGAATTTTACAGACAGTAGACTATTTAATTCAAAAGCTGTATTTTTTTTACAAGAAAAAAGCAAAGATCTCAAATGAATGTATAATGTGTTCTTGATCATATGAAAATATCCAGCTAGATTATGCTTGGCAAGTGATAGTTTTCTATGGTCAGATATGATTCTATATGACACTGGCAGAATATAAGTAGCACACTGGAAATTTTCAGATTGTTTTTGATATAGCCCTTATAAAGGTATTTATAACATTTCAAAAGACAATTACCCTTCTTAATTCCTGTTCATTTTCCCGATGTTCTGCTGTCATACTCTGAAACTGAGTACGAAGATGGTTAATGTCTTGTTGTAATTTCTGCCGTTTTCCTTCGCTATTTTTAACATCTGATGTTTCCTGTTTCTCTGCCTCAGCTTTAACTCGGCGGATATGTTCTTCTGAAAATTTCTCAATTTGATGTAAATCTGCTTGTAATCTTCTAATAACTTCATTCTTTTTTCTTATCTTAAAAATAATTATATAAAATAAGAGTTGTAGTTTACAATATTTAGATGTAAATTAAGATTTGAATATTTGATCTTCTAGATACCATTGCTTGATATATGCAAATAAGTTGTCAAAAACTTGAGATCTATTTTAGGTGTTTCTGAAGAAGGCAGTAAGCCGAAACGTCAAATAACAGGACAATAATATAGTTTTAATTGGTTTCCCCTTTTTGGGAATTTGTGATATAATTTAAGATTATGATTGTCATGATTATTATGATGTTGTTTCATTGTTCTATTGTGATGTCATAATAAACAATAGATATATACATAATATGTTATAATACTGCCATCAGATTATATTTTAACGACAGTTGATATCATCTCATTGTTCCATTGTGATGTCATAATAAAACATACATTTCTATTACTAAGTCTATTACTATTACTAATAATACTATTGTGATGTCATAAACATAAACTTGTCATTCCAACCAGACAGCCCATCACTGACCATAAAGAATAAAAAAAAAATTTCTTTAAGCATAGATAAACATAATACTGGTACTAATAAGCTTACTTGTAATAAATAAATCAAATTAATTGAAAAAATCAATGTAAGAATTCTTACCTCTTCCTCTTTATCTTCCATTCCAGCTTTATATTCAGCTTCTAATTTCTGAATGATACCAGCATTATAACGTTCACGCTGTGATATCTCTGTTAAATACGCCATTCTTTCTTTCTCTTCTTCTGGCGTTGTTAATAACTTGCCCATTAAAATATCTCGTAATTCCTGCATAGAGACGACCATCTCATTACAGTTTTCATTTCGTACTCGGAATTCACCCAGTACAGAATTACAGGCAGACGGATTTATTTGAAAAGCTCGTAGGATATTTTTACACGAGAAACTCAGTTGTTGAGCCACAAGGGATAAATTTCTAATGATTTCTTCCAACTGTGCATCTGCTTCATCATCTGAGCGTCTGCTCAGACCACTCGATGCTCGTGATGGTGGAGGACTTTTCAGTTCATCTTCATCTTCATCATCATCATCATCAATATCTTCATCATCTTCATTCTGAGCAGAATCTCGACTTTTTCTTGATACATTGGATTTTGCACTCTGTGTTGGTGTACGTTTGGCTAAATGTTTGTCAAGTTCTGCTCGTATCTCATTATAACTTTCTTGAATAACTTGATGATGTTGCAGCAGATCTGCTAAATCTGATCCTAGAGAAATTCGGAATCGATCTAAATTTTCGATGATGTGTGGAAGTAAAGTTATAATTTCAACTCTTCTTATTGTTTCCTCAAAAACTGACATTACCCTCTGGGCTTCAATGGTGGAAATTTTCTTTCTGGAAGGTTCCAAGGCTCTTGAAGGGTCCAATCTAATTTTTCTGGTCGAATGCAGAGGGGGTCCATTAGGTGGTGCTGGTTTCAGGGTTTGGTTATGGGTCAAATTCATATGAAGTGTTGGTTCTGTATGGCCTGTAGGCCCGTGGCGTAACGTTTCCGTTATTGAGGACGCCATTTTGACAGTCTCTGTTAGTTCTGACAACTACTCAACACAAATCATCATCCAAAAATCCCGTTATGTGGCAGAAACAGTAAAAATGTTCAGAACACAACTCTTCTTGTTTATGGTTTGTGACAATGGACGGAGTGTGCAGATATTGTTTATGTTATCCATCCACTAGCAACAAATAGTCCTAAAAACTCTCAACAAGTTTTGAATTTTTAATTTGAAGGGGACATATTTTGCTGAAATTTATGTTATTTGATAATTGAAAGATCTTTTTTATGAAGCAAAATATTGGAAAAGCAAAACAAATCGTAAGAATTTTTAACATTCATATTTCCAAGTTCATACGCTGTAGTCAGGTACTACTTCAGGTTTCCATCAAGGTCAAGGTCAAAGGTCAATTCATAGATGGCGCTTCTTCAAAATGGCAACACTGGGAGATGGCAGACCTCCCAGATCAAGTTCAATCGGTCCTGGTGAGTTTTCAAACTAATAAATAAATTAAACTTTGGGTTGTTAGGATGCAGAACACGATTCTTTACAAATTTGTGTTCACCTGATATAAATTTTATTTACAAGATCGTAAATATTGTGCTTTTCATTTTGACAACTGGCCTACTTTCGGTTTATTATTGTTATTTAAAAGACAGTTGCTTATGTCATTACCCTTATTCATGTTATGATTGTCACGTATCTAATGTTCAAAGGCATAGCCTGGAATTTAAGAGGTTTGGTTGGTCCTCAATTTCTAAGCAGACCATTCTGACCCACTCCCACACATGTGGATGTTTATGTGCACTTCAAATTTGCATAAAAAAAAAAAAAAAAAAAACTACAACAAACATTTAACTCCTTGTGAAAAATATCTGATTACTAATCTATTCTGTTAATCCTTACTGATGCGCAATACTTTATTAAACAGAATTTTCTTCCCTTTAGAACATGGAAAAACCTCTAGTTGTTTGGATTGGATAATAAACTGAAGCACTGGGATACAGGCCATCCCTCAAAAAAGAGTAGGCTAATGTCACGGCCGTGGCAAAATTTCCCCCTCTGTACAGTGTTGCCCATCTTCATTAGCCACGGATCAGGGACAGTATACTTTGTGTAATCCGACATAAACTGGGACTGTTAAACTGCTAGTCCGAAACATCTGCCTCTATTGCAGCCTCTGATGGATATTTTCCCCATCTAACAGGGTCTATTTTTTCTGTCTTTACACCAGCTGACATCTGTCCAAATAGCTATCAGAGGCTGGAATAGAGACAGATGTTTTGGTCTAGATGACCGTGAGTGTCAGAGTACTCAAAGTTTGAGATTTTTTAACATGAAGTACAAGTATATACAAATGTGACGTAAAATTATCTTCATTTCATTCTTTTCTTTCCTTCAGATGATATAAATTTTGATACAGTAAACAACACAACAATACATGACAATGATACAGATGCACTGACAGAAAATACTGCAGACACCAGTAGCACAGATCTAGAGGAGGAGATCAACATCCGACGGAAACAACGACAATGGCAACTCAATTATCAAGAGGCAGCAATATTTTTACAAGAAGGTGAAAACAACGACAAATTCGACACACATCCTAAAGATCATAATGCCTTACCAGCGTACGAAGTGGCTCACAACATGTGGTTTCATTTATTGGACATGGTGGCCGCCATTATGTTACTTGTACTGGCTTTATGCGAACGACCTGCTGTCTCTTTTTTTAGCCTTCCTGTTGGCGTAAGTGTGAATTTCTCAGTATTTTTCACAAAAAAGTACTCACATCAAAGGATATTTGTTGCTATGCATTCAACCGGAAGAATATCATTAATGTTATCGTTATAAATGCTGCCTCTTTCAAGCCTGTTGATGCAGGTTTTTCTCCTTCTTCAAAAATATGATCAAAATATTCCTTTCCCTTCATTTCTGCAGTAATTTTCCATGAAAAATTATAAACTATTTTGAAAAATATGGCCTATTTTTTACTCAATGAGAATTCAATGAGAATATGATGTTTCTTTTCTGTGTCTGTATATTTGCTCTCATTGTATTTTTTCTGAGCCTGTTTGAAAGGTTTCTGAAGCACAGAAAATTGGAAACTTTACTTGATATTATTTGTTATATTTCTTGTCACTGAATCCTTGTTAATTATGTTATTTTATTTTGTGAATCTCTTTAGTTATTTTGATGTTTTTAGATTCATGGTTCGTTAGAAATGTTATGTTTATTGATATTAAGTCTAGAACTTGGTATCAGATTTAAATGGGTTGGTTGGAAGGCGTATTTTAAACATAAACGTACAGTTATAAAGGTGAGTTTTATATTTTACATGTTATAAAATCACATCAATCAAAATTCATAAAACTAGTTATAAAAACATTGATTTTTACATAGTGAACAATAAACAAAAATCAACTATTGACTTTATTAGTAAGAATGAAAAATGATGTCACAATATAAAAAAATAAAACCAAGAAATTCGTGTTCAATAAGAGATCAGATTATCCTGCAGTTTCTTTTATGGCTATCTTGAAAAGTGAATAATTCAATTATTATTGTTATTTTAGATGTTGGCTGTATTTATAATGTTCAAGTTAAAATGATATTATTATTGTTATTTTAGATGTTGGCTGTATTTATAATGTTCAAGTTAAAATGATATTATTATTGTTATTTTAGATGTTGGCTGTATTTATAATGTTCAAGTTAAAATGATATTATTATTGTTATTTTAGATGTTGGCTGTATTTATAATGTTCAAGTTAAAATGATATAATTATTGTTATTTTAGATGTTGGCTGTATTTATAATGTTAATAGAGTCAATTGTAGTGTTAGTTCGACAGACCAACCATTTCCGTGTCACACGATCTTTACGGCCATTATTTCTCATACATTCCTATTACTGTCGTGGTGTTCGTAGGTCAGTATCTTTATCTTATATCATAATTCATTCCTTAAGTTTGAATCGCTGTGAACGAGGGTGAACTTTCTCTTTGTCTTCTATCTTGGGTTCGAATGCCAAACAGTGACCAATTCTGTGACCACTGTCTTCCCGTGTAAAAAAGAATTTTGTCTGTGGCTTCTGTCTTCACACATTTGTTGGCAAATCAAATTTATTCAATGTTTTTAAGATGAAATACCAGATCAAAAGCAGTACTGCTAGTCTTAAAATGACTTTGCATTGATGAAGATATAAATTCTTGTAAGTTTTCTTCGAACAGAAACAGCCCTAACTAAATACTGAGTGGTTTGTTTAAATTTGGTTTTGTTATATTTTTGTTTACTGTTTTTTACATTACTCATGGTCTTAACTTATAATCTAGCTGATAAACTTATTTAGTTCATGCAGTATTCACCCTGTATTATATATGTGAGAGTGTATATCAGTGTTAGTAACTAGTGCTATCATTAACTAATTTGTTTAAATATTTTGTAGAATAACACGACAAGTTTTACAGTCGTTACCTCCGATTGTTGATATGATTATATTATTAATATTCTTTATGCTCATATTTTCTATATTTGGTAAGTTATCTTTAAATTACCTAGTTAATATTACTGGTATGATATATCGGTGAATTAATGTATCGAGATATGACATGACACGATCGTATTGTATTGTGATGCCTTGTATCGATACTTGGCGATACAAAAAAAAAGTGGAAGCAAACCACTTCTATCAACTATTTCACCAAATATCACAATTATAAAGTAATGAATTAATATAATATATAGAAACTTTGAACTTTCTGTCCCATTAACCGTATCGCATTGATCAGCATTGTTAGTGCTTTCTGAAAATGACCAAAATTATCCTTTTAAGGTTTCTTGTAGACAAATTTTTAATCAACAACTATTGATAGATGCCACGAGAGTTGGAGAGTTCCATTCCTATGTTTCAAATTAACGATAGTTTAACATGTTTTTTACAAGTTTTTGAAGAATAGTTTATGTTTTTTTTTAGGTTTTTACTTATTTTCACAAGTTCCCAATGATGTAGTAAGTGCCCTATTTATATATTAATAGTTATTTTATTAACCTGTGGCCTCATTCTATATTTCTTTTTCTATTCTGTATATTACCACAGTTCCTAATACGATGATAAGTTAAGTTTAATAACTGTATGTGCAGTGGCTGGGCAAGCCTTCAGAGACTTGGGGTACAAATAGGGGGGCAGACTGACTCAATGGGGGGACAACTGCTGAGGCTGAATTCAAATTATAGCTACTCTGTGGTGGTATCATAGTCGCAAGCCTCTCATAGATTGTCTTAGAGAGTTCTCTCAAGAATATTTTATAAAAAATGAATTGATTTTGTGCATTCTGACATATATTTTAGAGAAAAAGGTAGACATTTAGATTTGTTGAAAATAAAGTGGGGGTACAATTGGGGGTGCAACCCATTTTTTTAGGGGGCCAACCCCACTAGCGGCACCACTGTGTATGTGCAAAGGTTAATATGGACTTGAGTAAAATTTCATTCTTAATATGTATACAAATAGCTGAAATTGAGCTCTGTCAGCTTGTGTAGCACATCTTTGGACATCTACATCCCTTTATAGGAAAGGATAGTCAGAGATATCAGTAAACTTGTCACCTACAAACCAACATAAACAAGTTACTGTTAATTAATTTTGTCAAGATGAAATGAAATTAATATAAACTGTTTTTATTATTTTAGTATTTTAACAATCTACAGACAAGTTTTGTTAGTTTGTTTGTTTTGTTGACAACAGCCAAGTAAGTTTCCGGGTGTTCTATTGAGTTGAATAAAATCCAAAGTAGAACAATATGACAGCATCTTTGAGTTTCACTATCCCATAATTCATCAGGAAACAGATCTTACATGACACGCTGTGATTGGTTAAAAATAACATCATTGGAACAGGATTGTGAGAGAAAAATTTACGAAATTACAATGTAGTCTAAAAATATCAGAAAACAAAAAAGAACGGAAATTGTTATTTAATTTTAGATAATTTGAATGTAGTTTAACATTTAGAATAGATAATTTATAAATTATGTTACTTCCTATTTCAGTTTTCCTGATGTAATGATGCCAGCGTATTCAGCCAATATGTTTTACTCTATATTTTTTATTGTATATTTATCATTAGAATTATATTTTCTTATGAATTTGGTGAGTTTTAGATTTTTTATTTTTTGTTAAAAGTTTTATATTGTTTTATATTGTTTTATATTGTTACCAGAATATTTAATAATCCTTTAGTAACTTTTAGTGGTAGAGATAAAATAATAGAACACAATTTTATTATACTACTCCTGTCTGTTAGAAGTCTGTGTAGGGTTTCTTCTATTGTTAACTTCCTTGTACGTGGGTCTGTTAGAAGTCTGTGTAGGGTTTCTTCTATTGTTAACTTCCTTGTACATGGGTCTGTTTGAAGTCTGTGTAGGGTTTCTTCTATTGTTAACTTCCTTGTACGTGGGTCTGTTAGATGTATTTTAGAGTAGGAGTAGTATACATACAATACAATTGTGTTCTGTTATTTAATGATATTTAATGTTATCTCTACTCCTAAATGTTGTTAAAAGATTATATTTATATGATAGTTTTAATAAAAAGTTGGATATAAGGCAAATGGTCAAAAATCAAACTAGTTTTTTTTTTTTTTAAATTTCAGCAAAAAAAGGTCATAACCAAGCATTACTCCCTATGTTGAGATTAATGTCAAATCAAATTTCATTTCAAAATATCAAAAACAAATATTTTTGTGTTATAAAATGATTTTGTTTCTATTTTCAGTTATTAGCTGTTGTTTATGATACGTTTTCAAATTTAGAAAAAACAAAATTTCAGAAATTATTTTTTCATAAACGAGAGGGCTGTCAACATGCCTTTAAACTTCTACTTAATAAACAGGTAGGGGGTGGGGCTTATATTATTTACATGTCAGGAGTCATGAAGCCGGCCCATCAAAAAAACTCTGATGTTTTACACTAAATTCACAATAATTTCATATGATTTTTTGAAAAGCGCCATCTACAATAAAGCCCTTTGACGTACGTTGGATCGAAATATTTTTGAGAATCGCAGTTTACAATTAATTTGTCCAATCTGTAGGGGTTTATGGAATATTATGAATACACCCAAGCATTATAGCTTCCCCCTTGCTATATATTCTCCATGTTCCTTTATCAACGGTACTATAATAATGACCATCTAGCTGTGAATAATCATCATATATTCTCATGTTTACTTCCTCCATCTTCATTTCATCTGATGACAACACGTGTAAATTGTGTTGAAATGTTATATACTTTGTTATTAAAGAAGTGAGTTATACCATCATATATTCTTTCATGTCTTTTTTGTTATAAACATCCAAACTTGTTTTTTTTTCAGAGTCCCAATAAAATTCAGCTCAAACATTTTATGGGTATGATGTCTCATTATCATTCGTCTAAAAGTAAGTTAAAATTCTTATTATTCTAGTCTGTGAATTAAATAACAGCTTGCTTATTAACCTATAGATCCAGACATTGGTGAAATACTGGAATACATCATGTTATTCATCCTTAGGATATCCATATTAACTTATATTTCCAGCATGTAAAGTGTCCTGTACCAATTTTTATAATATTTAAGTTATATTACTTACAGTTCAGGGTATATAATGTTTTATTTTCTAACTCACTGTCTTCAAATTATTAGAAAATGATGTTTACTTTCCAGGTAAACGTGATACATATTTAATATTTAAATCTCTAAACACCAGTAAAACAGGCAGTCTGAGTCTAGAAGAATTTTATAGTATTTATGATATGGTAGATTTAAACTGGAAGGTAAGTACAGCTAATGATGATTAATCAATAATCAATTAGTATTCTTCTAATGACACACCCACTTAATGATTGACAGGTACAATGGAATAATTTTTCAAAAAAAAAACAGAAAAGAAACAACTATATTTTACAAGGATAAGAACTTAGGTTCACAGTTAAGGATCCTTTCTACCAGCTGATCCTTAGCCAAACCTCTTGACATTGATCTTTCCTGGATTATCTGTACCCATTTACAGCTGGGTTGACTGGAATTATGAGTGAAGATGATTTATACTGATATGAAGTTTTTATATTTCAGTTGAAGTATTCAGATCAGATTTGGTCTTCCAGTTTTAAAAAACCTTTTGATAAAATATTTAGAGGTATGTCCAGTCCATTCTTTAATCAAAATAATCAATAATAGTTCAACTTATTTTGGTGGTATTTATGTAATATTAGGTTAAAATATTCAATTTGTGAAAAAATTTATTATTTATTTTTCAGCTTTCAATAAACTGGTAAATTTAAAATGGTTTGATTATTTTATTTGTAAGTTTTTATGTGTTTTTTTTTTTCTTTTCCTTTCCCGTACTCTCTCCTCTATCATAAAAAATTAAAAAAAGTAATTTGCTTTGATGGCAAAGATAGCTTTAGATTAGAAAAATCTGTACAAACAAAACAAATTCCAATAACCAAAAATCTATAATTTAAACAGAATCAATAAGTGTATAATAGTAAACTCTTCAAACTTCTGAAATTTACAAATAGATTTAGATGATAACAATATATACAAGCAAAACAATTCCAGTGACAAGAAATCTCGTCCAAATCATGATTCAGATAAATTAGTTGATTTTATGAAAGAAATAATTGATTATTTTTCTATATATTTTAGATTTAGTTATTGGTGTTAATTTTCTGTGGATTCTCATAGAAACAATACAACTTTCAGGTAAGTTGAAGATTATTTCTACTGTCTGATAATGGAGCCAAAGCAATATCTTTGTTAAATTATTTATTTATTAATTTGATTTGGGATTATTTTTGTTGTGCTCTGTTGTTTTTTCAGCCAATGCTGTAGATTTAAAAGGCTATGATTTTACAGCTAGTTGGACTTCCATTGTTTTTGTTTGTAGTAAGTTAAATTATTTACTTTGTGAAAATTAAAACAATGCATTGAAGATGGAGGAAGGGAGATAATGGCTCAGTGATTAGGTTTAGAGCCAGAAAGACATGAAAGTGGCTTCTCGTTTAATTGCTTCAAATTAAAACTCAATATAAAATCTCAGACTCAATCTCTTTAGGGTTCTAACAATGAGAGATTTATGGTATTATAAACTAATTCTATTGTTCTGTTATTTTCAGTATATTCTGTAGAAGTTATAATCAAGTTATTAGGGAAAGGTCCACTGGAATATTTTACCACAGGTTGGGATATGTAAGTATTTTATATTCTTGTATGTTGATTGTATTTTGTCAAGTTGTATGGACTGTTAAATTTGTAGTCATATATAAAGAAAGGTTTTAAATTGTGTATCAGATAGAGTTTAGATGAGATTTTCTCATTTGCCTCAAGACAGATATGAGAAACTGCCATTTTCAAAACTAGCTGTCCTGATGAAGATTATATATCTGAAACACTAGTAAGTTGCATTAGGTGAAACTCTCTTACAGAAACACTAGCCTAAGTCACTAAGGCAGTAGGAGATTTGCCATTTTTAATTGGCACTTTTTAAGTTAAACTTTTTATTTAATCAAATTTGTCAATCTTTGTATATTTCACTCTATTTTATTTGGACGTATTTTCTAGATTTAAATGAAATACTGATCACAGAGCATAGAGCTAATTTTAAGCCATCTGTGACACTTTAGTAAATTAAAATCCAACATCTAGTTTGTGTACGATAAATGTTATATTACAGGTTTGATTTCCTAGTTACAGTAGTAAGTGTTATAGGGGTATTAGGAGAAAGATTTGAAGGTAGTTTTTATTATGTGATTGTACTTAGACCATTCCGTCTGCTCAGGTTAGTTTATATATTTTATCTTTGTATGTACGGTATATTCAACTCTTGCTAGGGTATTGCTATATTACAATGAATCCTGGTCACCTCTATTAAGCAACCATCTTCTACAATAAAGTTCCCCTCTTTGGATTTTCAATATACTTTACTACTGATAAGTGACCACCTTATATTTACACTCCCATAAAATCAAAATGAATCAATTAAGCGACCATAACAGTTCTTATTATCTCCCTTGTATTAACATCACATGGTTTCACCTACCAAGAGTTGGCCTGGTGTTGGCTTTCAACCTCTAATAGACCTGATTCACGTGTCGGCCATATTTAATCCAGAACAAGGCTCATAACGCAAACCTTGAAAAGCTAACGTTATGTCATTGCATAAAATCACCACCTTGACGTCTTTAAAGCCTCCTTCTCCAATCTCACTAACTTGAAACTGATCATATTTTACATCATTAAATTTGGAATTGATTAAACTATTGAATGATACTTTAACATGAATTTTTCGAGAAAGAGCAGTTTTAAAACCATTTTCTTGCTGTGCAGCGGATGTTTGATGACGTCGAATAGGCTATTCATTCATATGACGTAATTTGTATTACGAACCTCGCTTTCAGTGTCTCCAAAATGAAGCGTGATTAAGGTCTATTGGTTTTCACCGTCTAGTACCTATGTTATATTTTACAGGTTATTTAAAGTAAAGAAAAGATATCGAGATGTTTTAGGGACGTTGTTTGTATTATTTAATAAATTAACCAGTCTTGCCATCGTTATAATTCTAGTTTATTATTTCTTTGCTATTATCGGCATGGAGATATTTCTAGGTGTAAATCTCAAAGATTGTTGCAAGTAAGTTGAGATTTCGTATCTTTTCTCAGAAACGGCAATTTTTAGCTAATCTAATCAGTAATAGTGTTCACAGCTCAGAGTTGAAATTTGAGCCTTCAAATCTATGTGTGTTACTGACATTGTGAGTTTTTGAATGAAAATCGATCTGATTGTATCTCATGATGTTGACCTGCAGTATATTTAGGAGCCTAATGGCAGGTGTAGATCGTGAAGCAGACCATGCCTACTCTTACACCTGATGGGGAGTCCACTGCTAAACATGTATTGCTCTCAATTTTGACGAGAATTTTGTTTACTGGAATGATTTTACTTATAGATATTATATATACTAGTGTTGTGAAAGTCTATGGTATATTTATTTCAGAAATACAACTGTAAGTGATTTTTATAAATATGACAACAACTCCAGATTTCAAGGTTATTATTACCTCAACAACTTTGATAATATCCTTTTATCTGGTGGTAAGTACAGCGCTTATAGGTTTGAATCCCTAGGATAGGAGCTAATACAGTTTCTAATATTCAACTCAAGTCAACTCAGTTTTTCTCCATAATGACATTGGAGCTGTCATGGCTGCTTTGAGGGACTGACATGGAAAATGGGTCTAATCATTTCGACAGGACAATAAACTAAGGTGCAACAGACTGTGTATGTTAAAGATCCCTTGACACCTGAAATAAAAAAGGGGTAGGCTAATGCCGCTGTCCTGACAAAATTTCCCACAATTAGTCATTCAGAAAGGACAATAAACCTGTGCTATAGACTGCTTGTTAAAGATCTTTCGACAGTGGGAAATAAAAAATAATACGTTAATGCTGCTGCCCTTGCAAAAATTTCCCTCACAGCACACTGCATGGCATTACCTTCCTAAGTAGTTAAAAATGCGCAGTAACAAAATGGACGTAAAACACAATATCATTTCTGTTTATTATTTTAGTGACATTATTTGAACTGACTGTGGTTAATAATTGGTTTATTATAATGGTAAGTCCAAACTTTCTCTTCATAATTCAAATTTTAATTCCGCCCCACATCCCCTTCATCTTGGGTGTTTCTCGAACAAACAGGTGAACCTTTTTATGGTTCAGTTTTTCAAACCTTAAGGTGCCCTCACACCATAGCTATTACCAGTTGCGACTAATTAAAGGGGTCATAAGTTTGATTGCAACTCACAACTCAGTTTTGTTCGTAATCAACAACCGATATTCTTATTGCAACCATACACAACTAGTGATCACTATGGTCACCTAGGTTATATCAGTGTGCTTTTTTGAAAAAATGAAGCTTCACCCGTAAAATTGATTTGTGTTGAGTTGATAATTGTCTAATCTTCCTGTTGACAGAATTTTAATTATTTTTCCTCTTTTCAACAATTTATTAATTTATATTTTGCATTAAGCGTAATTTTAACAGTGAAATATTTTATTATTGTATTGAAATGATCTATCGTTCTTTAAACACCATCTTTTAATATTTATTTAATACAGGAAGGTTATGCTAGTAAAGTTAGTGAATGGACTAGAGTTTATTTTATGTTATTTTATATTGTTATGATGGTAAGACACTTTCTAATGTTTCTGATCAAGTTTAGAGACTTTCAGCGTCCATTACGGCTGTAAGAGAAACAAGCAAAGTTATTTAGTATGAAGAAAATCAGAGAACAACTGGATTTTCAATGACGGGTGGCAACAGGCAGAATCGTACAGACGAAAGGAAAACTAGTAGCTTGACCTCTAGTTTAAAGAGGCTAGAAATGGTTGATGTTTTGATAGAAGCGATTCTTTCATGTTGACTTTGATGAATTGACTTGAGCCCAAAATAGTTTTTTTTTCACAGGTGGTCATGAATATTATAGTAGCGTTTGTTTTAGAATCGTTTTTATTTCGTATTCAATATCGACGACAGATGAAACTTGCTGATATGGACGGTAAGATTTTGTATAGAGATTGTAAAGAGGTTTTCTATTGTATGTGTATCGGGGACACTTATACCATCAATTTACATCATTCTAATTTAAGTTAGATGTCTGTGGTTCTTCTGATACCACTTTTCATTATGAAATACTTTTGCATTTATGATTGATATACTTCCTTATATTTTGGATTTTGAATTTTGTTTTGCGGTTCGGGTTGTGTGTATTTGGGTTCATTTATTGCAATTTCATTAAAACTAAGCGTTTTATGACATCACTATCAAAAAGGTCCATAAATTTTAGTCAAAGTGTTTGCGACAATGACATCATAAAACATTTTGTTGTAGTGAAATTGCAGGAGAAAATATAGCAGCAAAATTTAACTTTACAATAGTGATAATAAAATTGTTGAAAATGTCAATCTTCTGGTTGTATTGTAGATGATAGTGTGTTTAAAGTTGAGGTTTCCCTGTCAGAAGATGAGTTGTATATGAGTGAGAGTCCAGTAGGTAATCTGACCAGTCATCATATACAAACTGAGAATCAGTCAACTTTACAACGACAGTATTCACAACCTGTAAGTTATTATACAACAATACAATAGAGTTTTACATCTCTCATTTCAGTTCCAGATTGGGCTACTGTAGGTAGGCATTGGTGCCAGCATATCAGGGAATTCATGTATCGCAATACGCGTATCGTATCGCAAGGTCATGTATCGATACCTTTTATTCCATAAAAAAGTGCGGATGATTAGTCTATAACACAACTTTTTGTCATATACCTTGACTGCAATAGCCACCTTTCTTGTATCACAGAAGTTTGTATGCCAGTTTTAAGATCAATGGTGGTTTACTGCTATTGTGACACAATCTAATATAGCTAGTGAGGTCTGGTGTTTAAGTTTGGTATGTATTTTATATTTTTTCAGGATCTGGGAGTGTATGTTTTTAAAGGTGAAAGGTCAAGGACTAAAGATGATTTCAGTATGAGAATGTATGGTGATGAGGTCAAGGTAGGAACAATAAGCTGACACCAATTAGGTTTTGTCGTGTTTGTGCCCCTTTTGGAGTATCCCTGTTGGCGACACGATAATCTTGTCGTGGAAGCACGAGCACACGCGAGATTTTACTCTCGATTCGAGTCGGCGACAAAAATCTTGTGTGCTCGTACGTTTTCTGACCTTGTGCCTAAAGTAGCGTGTCTTACTGACATGTGTTTAAAATATTTGTGCCCTGATGGCTGCATCCTGGCATAACTGTCTGTTTTGTTCCAGGAATGGTTGGCAGAAAATGAGAGAGAAAGACAGGACTGTATACAAACAATGGAAGAAATGAGAGTTCGACCTCGCCCTAATTCTGTAAATCTAGAAGATGTTTCACTGCCAAATATGGAAGTGGTTTGCTAGCAGGGCTCGGCATGCTGAACAAATTAGGTTTTTATTGTGGCAGGGCATGCTTGTAAATCATGAATACCTAAAGTGGATTGTGGCAGGACATGCTTGTGTGGATGGGACAGATTTCATAATATGCAATTCAACAAACCAATGGGTCCACCTAAACTGGTTTGTGGCAGGACATGCTTGGAATTCTGGAGCATGGCATTTCCAGAATTCCTGAACATTGAAGGTGTTTTGTAGCAGGACCTGCTTTATATTGAGTGCTCAAACTAGTTACCAGATAATTTATCAATTAATTATCACCTTTCTTTAACTTGCTATGGTGCTAATCAGACTGGGTCATACCCTTAACATCTTTACAATGTGAAGCTGTTATGAACTTCATCTTCACAATGTCAAGCTATTACAAACTACATCTTCACAATGTCAAGCTATTACAAACTACATCTTCACAATGTCAAGCTATTACAAACTTCATCTTCACAATGTCAAGTTATTACAAACTACATCTTCATAATGTCAAGTTATTACAAACTTCATCTTCACAATGTCAAGTTATTACAAACTACATCTTCATAATGTCAAGTTATTACAAACTACATCTTCATAATGTCAAGTCTTCTACCTAAACTCCAATAGTTACCCTTCATGTATCACGGAATACAGCGATTTGGATCGTAGGCAAGCGAATACAGCCAATCAGAGCTCTCGACAGATAGAATGTAAACATGTAGTGTTTACAGACTCTTTGTTGATGCCTCTGATTGGCTGTATTAGCTAGCCTATAAACTTTCGTGATACAAGAAAGGCAGCTATTGAAGTCAAAGTATAAGACGAAGTTCATAATAGCTTTAAATTGTGAAGATGACCCCATTGGTATTCAGCCAATTTTTGCTGTGTGCAAATGTACATAATTATGTAGTATAAAGTCTGTGAAACCTATCTACATGTTCTAAGACTCAATTTTGGTTGGTTGACTGGGAGGGAGTCAGTTTCTACATCAAAGTGCAATATATTTTATGAGGTTCTATAACACCAGTCCGTTACAGTGTTGGCTCTTTACATGATGTCATTTGCTTGGTTTATCTGAACACATGGTGGTTGTGGGCTACAATCTCCGTTGACATGTGAAAGTCTGATGACCTTGAATAAGTCATCTTCACTCATAATTCTAGTTGACCCAGCTGTAAATGGGTACGGGTAATCCGGATAAGATCAAGAGGTTAGGCTAAGGTCCACCTAGTAGACAAGATTTTTAACTGATTACCAAGATGTTATCCTGGTATAATATCCTAGGATAATGGTATATTTTTCTCTCTGACTCTCTCCCAGGCGTCTTAAATCATCTGTCTGACCTGTAGATTGAGTCACAGTTTCTTGTTATAATGTATATAATATTTTATAATATTTTGTCATACCAAGTCTTTCAGGTTAAGTTTGTTAAAAAAGGATAAAAGAGGTTTCTGGCCTTTGTATGTTTAGCTACATTCTACGAAACACGGGTCTGATTGCAATATCACTTTTTACGAACTTCATCTTATACCTTGACTGCAATAGTCATCTTTTTAGTATATAGCTATTTGATTGGATTATACAACAGCCAATACAGCCAATCAGAGCTCTCGACAGAAAGACTGCAGCCGCTATGGTTTATTTTTGTACAGACTTTCAGTCGGGGACTCTGATTGGCTGTGTTCACTGGCATATAATCCAATCAAATCAAAAATCATTCAATCTTCCATCATATGAGAATGGTGACTATTACAGTCAAGGTATAAGACTGAGTTGGTAATCATAATCATCAATAATTGTGGTCAAAGGTTGTTTGATTGTTTGTTAAATGTTTTTTGATATTTACGAAGGTTTAGATACAGTGTGTATTATATTTGAACAAATTTGATCGAACATATTTTTTAATTTGTCGTCTTAGAAATTATCTATTTAGATATAGTAGTTTGTGTTATTGTTTTGTACATTCCGAAAACTTTTATATTAATATTGATCAGTATTCAGTGTTGTTTTATTTCTTTTACCCAGTCATTATTATGGTCCCATTTTACTTATATACCAGGTTGATATTAATCACCCAACCAAAGTTTGCACGGCTGACCTAGATTAAATACGTCATGAGAAACTAATTTCCAGATGACATAGTTTACACGTGCTGACCTAGATTAAATACGTCATGAGAAACTAATTTCCTGATGACATAGTTTACACGTGCTGACCTAGATTAAATACGCCATGAGAAACTAATTTCCTGATGACATAGTTTACACGTGCTGACCTAGATTAAATACGCCATGAGAAACTAATTTCCTGATGACATAGTTTACACGTGCTGACCCAGATTAAATACGGCATGAGAAACTAATTTCCTGATGACATAGTTTACACGTGCTGACCTAGATTAAATACGTCATGGAAGACTTATTTCCTGATGACATAGTTTACACGTGCTGACCTAAATTAAATACGGCACGGAAGACTTATTTCTCAGTGACATAGTTTACACGTGCTGACCTAGATTAAATACGTCACGGAGGACTTATTTCCTGATGACATGAGAGACGTGCTGAACTAGATTACTCCTGTGAATGATGAAATGGTGTATTATCGGTGAAATCGGTATAAATATCTAACCGAGTAATACTAACACTAATTGACCGACTTTCCACGTTGACCCTTGACCATAGCACAGTCAATGGGTAATGCCGCTTGATTTCATCTTCCGACTCGCCTAGTACTTGATTGAAGTAGGTAGATAAACTATCATCATTATAAAATAATTAAGCGTCCCTATACAGGAGTAGAACCTGGAAAACGCTAACAGACCCCCCCCCTTACATGTAATTCAAGCTTTAAAACCTATTTATGTATATAATGTACGATTAAAAGAAAGGAATTTGGAATTTCCCGTTTATTTAGGAAGTTTCAATTTATCTTTAGCCATCAAAATTTAAAGAATCGATTTTCTAGTTTAAATCAGTTCAAAACACTCCCATATTTAGACTTAAGATTTCAAAAAAAAAAATTCAACAAACATTGTGAAGTCGAAAATTTCAAGAACGTGCCACCATGACAACTTGTCTGTTTAATTATCGAGATCAATTAATCGCGATTATACCAGTCTGGTGAATATGGATAGGTGAACACTGACTGTAACTGTCTTGATGTTCAAGTGTAGTATTGTGAAGGATGTAATAATGCCATTATAGACCACAGGATATCGTATCGGAGGACAAATAGACGGACTAGGTTGCAGATATCAATGAAGTTTAGTGATTCAGAAAGGAAGAGGAAGACAATGTATTTGAAATGATATAACAGTTGTAGAAAAAAGATGCGCTGAGAAAAGATGTCACAAAACGGTAGGTTTAGTCATTTTCTTTTTTTAATATTAACGTAATAAATATTGAAGATTATTATAATTCTGATGTTGGATTCGGGGTCTACCCAACTCTTCACATAATCACAAAGTTTTTGAAAATTTAACTTATTTCATTATAAGAACAATGAGGTATCACAGATGTCATATATGGTATGTTTACTAATTTTTTTTCTTCTTATATAATTAGTCTAATGTTATAGATATTGTAGAGAGGATTATACTTCTGACGATGGATGTAAGACGACCCCACCTTCATACAGAAACCACAAACTTGCGTTTTACAATATATTTTTCCGTCTTCATAATTCTCTGTGTTTTATAACTTATGAACATACGGTTCCACAGAAGCCACATAATTTCTGCTTTTTAGAATATTTTTTTGATTATTACAACATACACAATATAGTAAGGGATCTGAAAACAAACATAGGTCTAATACAAACATAGGTCTAATACAAACATAGGTCTAATACAGATATCAATTTATATATTGTCATTAAACTACAGTTAAAGTCAGTAAGTATATATTGTCTAAGTTAATTCATATTAGCCGACAAACTATAGTAGATATGGGCTGTAGGTTCTGTTTTTAATATTTCTAGATTTGGTCTAATATAAATTCACATCCCATTATAAAGATTGACAGTAAACTCTGTTTAAATGTCTAGTATAAGACAAGACTATATTTAACTGTACTAGTAGATGATATATTTATTTAGAGTAAGGAAGTGACAGAAACAGGGCTATAACAATTACATACAACTTTATATATGTTAGTAAGTGATATAGTGCTCTAAATCAACGACCACCGCAGATCTTTGGATTTGGAGGGGGTTTACCCACCCCCACAATGGAGCCGCCATTGGTCATAAATTAGCTTTACCATCCGATAGAGATGACATTTCAGCTATCTAAATAGAGGTCTAAATATTTGTTTTACCAGCTGATAGAGCTCAATTTCAGCTATCTATATAGTCATCTAAATATTTACTTTACCAGCTGTTAGATCTCAATTTCAGCTATCTGTATAGTCATCTAAATATTTACTTTACCAGCTGATAGATCTCAATTTCAGCTATCTATATAGTCATCTAAATATTTACTTTACCAGCTGATAGATCTCAATATCAGCTATCTATATAGTCATCTAAATATTTACTTTACCAGCTGGTAGAGATCAATTTCAGCTATCTATATAGTCATCTAAATATTTATTTTACCAGCTGATAGATCTCAATATCAGCTATCTGTATAGTCATCTAAATATTTACTTTACCAGCTGATAGAGCTCAATTTCAGCTATCTGTATAGTCATCTAAATATTTACTTTACCAGCTGGTAGAGCTCAATTTCAGCTATCTGTATAGTCATCTAAATATTTGTTTACCAACTAATAGAGCTCAATTTCAGCTATCTGAAAAGAGGTCTAAATATTTGTTTTACCAGCTGATAGAGCTCAATTTCAGCTATCTGAATAGAGGTCTAAATATATGTTTTACCAGCTGATAGCACCAATTTCAGCTATCTGAATAGAAGTCTAAATATATGTTTATCGACGGCTATATCCCTTCACCTTCCTTGATGTATTGTCATTAAGCTACCTCGCTTGTATAATACACGCTCTATTCGATATTACAATTAATTGTAGAGGGGAATACTGACAATCTCACAAAACAACACAATGGGTTTATGTACATTTTAAAACGTACTATTATAATCCAGTTTAACTTTAAAAAGTTTTTAATGAGACAGATTCACCAGAAATACAATGGGTTTATGTACATTTTAAAACATACTACATATATTATAATTCAGTTTAACTGTAAAAAGTTTTTAATCAGACAGATTCACCAGAAATACAATGAGTTTTATGACATTAAGCTTCCTGAATTTAACAAATAAGAGGAGGGAATAATTAACAAACCGACAAACAGACATTTAAGAAATATGATGTGAAACCTATACACTAGTTCCTAAAATATTTTAAACAACATCCTAACTTATGAAACTAGGATCAACTATTTTCATAAGACGGTTTCCTCCTGGGGAATTCCGATATACTCATAACAATGGGTGTAAACGCTTATCATATGACTTGTTAGAGGTGTTTTTCGACAACCCTTAAATATATCCGGCGCCCCTGATCATATCTCTATCTAATTCCAGATAAATGAAGCAGTAATCCACCAGATACTTATTTTAAAGATGGAAGTATTAATTAAAGCTTTATTAATAATGGTTACCATGGCAACTAGAATTAATATCATAGTATCATGTAAGTATAATCCACATTTCCATTATGACGTCATAACATATTACGTCATTATGTAGCATGTGCGTGATCATCCTTGATATAGAGGCCTGTCAGGAATTAGCAGCCATAATTGCTCAGTATGATAACTAATAAACAACTTTCTCATAAGTATTTATTAACTCAAAATCGATGGTGATTTCATAACGAATCTATGATTATAAATAGCCTCTATCATCGAGCCCGTCTTTGTCTATATTCTCGTTGGGAAAGAGGAGAAGTCTGGGCATCAGAGACTATTTTATAAAAGACTCTTCGTTGGTTTTCCATTTTCCCTACCGTAGCATATCTATCTTCACGAGAGCGTAAACCATTAGCCTAGCTACTGTTATCAAGATCATCACCATGCCAATAGTATCTATGGACTATTTATTAGCAAAAATAATCTTTTTCAGATCCCTGTCAGTCCAATTGGATAAAATATAAAGAAAGATGTTTCTTTTTTCCTGTTTTACCAGAAACTCTACCAGGTGCCAGGCGATCGTGTCGTCAAAATGGCGGTTATTTAGCAGACGTGAAAACGGACCAATCATTAGACGAGTTGAGAAATGCTTTTGACATCAGTGCATCACAAATCTGGACAAACTTGCAGTTCTTTAAGAATGAGTCTAATAATGTATTCGTCGTTATGGACGCTAAAACACGTCACATGACTGACTTTCCAAATTTTGGCCAATTAGCGTCCACGTTTCAAACATCATCTCTGATGTCATCGTGTGTAAAAATAGACAGAGGATCGGATTGGTTGTTAGAAAATTGTGACTCTTTAAATCTTTTTATTTGTGAAACCAATCCAGGTATGTAGGCTACAGTCATCACTCTAATCTTAACCTTAAATCAGTGGTTTCCAACCTATTTCAGCCTTCACACCCCTGGAGCAATCACCTGGATCTTTCACACCCCCAAAAATTTGTTTCATCCACATTTTCAGCATGTGATGATGTGAGGTGCTCTCTCAATTCAAAATAAATTCTACTACACTAGTTGGCCACATCCCCAGGGGAAAACAACCCAGGTTGGGAACGAGGGCTTTAAACTAAGGGGTTTTAGAGGCTGCCGGCTGTTGCGTTCGACCTACGACAAAATGCTAGAATGCTCCTAAGAAAAGTGAAGGAATCACTAAGATTTTCCTTTGTAATCAGCCCAGTTTATTAAGCTTTCTTTCAGAAACTGTCGGCATTATTTTGGCAGTGCTCACTCTTTAGAAAACCTCTTTACAATCCCTTTAAATGCTAATTGGAAATATCGATTAGATGAATTTGTAAAGACAGAGCTCCGATACAAAGCACTACTCTTGCTTTAGTTCCCAAGACTATAGTCCTATGTATAAACTGTTAAAAATGTTTTTTGCTTTTTTTCAGCTCCCATGTTTGGTAAGCTAGAAGATAAAAAGGGATACGGAGACTATATCGCTATAGCTTGTGGATCATTTCTATTTATCAGTTTTGTGCTCATTGTTCTCGTGGGAGCTTTCTGTCAAGCTCGAAAACTCCCTAATCTGGATACGACCAGTGTATCGGAAGAAACCCCCTCATCTGTTGTCAACTGAATGAAATAAGAGTTTTACATCCTACACCAGTGCCTAGAAGACTAGAAACTTCATTCAGTGTGCAACTATGGCAACACAATGGCATAATATTATCGAGTAAAAGGTGCGCAATATACACGCAAATACACGGTACTTGTCATAGCTGGTTAGTAAATGCGAAATAAATTGCAATATTGGTAGACTAAGTGGCGTTTCTACCGGGCTTTGGGGCGTTTCATAACCCAAAGAACTAAGGCTGGTCTGGCTTCCCTCCTCCCCCACTGTCAAATTTCTTATTACTTCAAGTTCAAAAAGGGTGGAATTACATGTGAGTACCCTTGTCAATTCGGTGGACCTTACTTGACCCCCCCACGTAATGATTCAAACCAACCTACCAGTGGGTGGGTAGGCTACACACGAGGAAGATAAATACAGGGTACAAAAGAAACCAAATGACTACTTGTCTGCACATTGTGGTCTAATGAAGACGGGCAACGCCATGCAGGGTACAATGAGGGAAATTTTGCCAGGACAGCAGCATTAGCCTGAATACATGGTACAAGAGTCAGTTGAAACAAAAATAAAGCTCCAAGACTGGACTGACACAGTCAGTGGTGGATGGGGCAAACTGGACAAAGTAAACTGAGTGCTGTAGATTAAAGAAGATATAATTATTCAAATATTTGTAAAATTATGTACATAATAACAATCAATAAATAAATTATTACAGAATAACAAGTAGTAATCAATTATATTTCAGGTCAAAATAGGTCTTAAAATCCCCAGGGTTGAAAAATAGTTCAGATATCTGATCTTTCTATGGATGGTAAAGAGGTTTTCTATGTGTTATATTTAGATCCTGTTTGCATCCTTCCAATTTTCTCTACCTTATCACCATCATTAAACTACTATTAAATGTTTATATGAAGTGTTATAAGAGGGTAAGCATGCCATGGCTTGCTGAACCAACATGCAGATTTGTCCAACTCAGTTGGTGAGTGGTAAAAGATGTTTCAAAAGAATAGAATGTTAATGAGGTGGAAAAATAGATTGATACAAGGTGTTTTAAACAAGTAAGCATGCTTTGCAACACCAGTACTGAATGTTCTTGTATGTCTCCAGATGTTTTCATTACTGGTAAGGTCTAATTCGCACATCCAAATTCTTTACCCTGGAGAGATTGATATGGTCCCCACCCTAACAAAAATACAATATATACAGAAAGTTGAAAAAATGATAAAAAAAAATACATCCATTATCAATTCCTTATGTATCTGAATCTGTCAAAGTATATAGAATTAGGTTTGACTTCTTAATTACACAACACGATTAACATTTATTAAAAAAAACAGCGGAACAAGGAATGTTGATGAATATTTACACAAACTGAATAGATTATAATAATCAGATTATATACCACCATTGAAACACGGGTAAACTGAACTCTGTATTAAATAATTTCTGAAGTTTAACAGTTTTAAACTATATAGAGTTCAGTATGCCTGTTTTCTAATCAGCCAAGCAATTCAAGCTCAAGTCTGTCAAGGTAAGAATATAGGCTATTTCAAGATTTTAAAGATCAACAGCCGTTACAGGGCACATATACAACTTAATATAATCTTCTTGTGTACAAACTAACACGATGAGATGATATAAACATACATGTACATGTTAAAAACAATCAAGGTATAATACAGATTTCCCTTGACTTCAAACTTGCAAAACCATCTCTAATGATAAAAAGTGCTTGAATTGTAAAAAGTAGATATTGTTAGTGCTACATGTATAGTATCACACGAGAAAAATTTAATCCAGAAAGGCTAAAGACCACAGATATTTCATCTCATTTTAATTTATTTACAAAATTTGCTCTGTGTTCAGTTAGCAAAATGTTTTATAGTGTTTTGTGTTTACTAGAGATTTGTGTCATACCAAGAGATAACTGAAGGCAAGAGAATACGTTTTTTTATGATAAATGAAAGCTAAGCAGGTTTGATATCAGTTTAGTGATAGACCAATCAGATGTTGACAACACTATAAAGTTTCATCCTTCGTAGAAAATTTTGTAGGATTTTAAGTCTTAAACTAAACTGAATAATTTTGATCACTTTTGGGTAGAAAATGTAGCTTTAAATATCGAATTGTAGATGAAAAAACTGAGTAAAAAATGTTGTCAATGTGGTCTTAGCACTAGCTTCTTTTATCCAGCCATGTTAATATAACAATAGTCTTGATTAATAAGCCTTGAAAGCATTAGCTTCTTTTATCCAGTCTCATAAATATAACAGTAGTCTTGGTTAATAAGCCTCCCTATTAGACACTTCTACCATTTCAACAGATCTGGAATAAAAAAAAAAGAATCGTAATTTTTATAATTTTTTGCCTTGAGGAGGGCAAGAGAAACATGTTAAAACGTTGTATAAAACTTGAACCAGTGATTATTGTTCTATAAAGCTATGTCTATATATCTTACTCACAATTGCTAAATATAATTTATAGAATTTAATATCATAATTTTTATCGTTCGGTGCCTGAGGACGACCATAGAATTATCTTCTATATAAATATTTGATAAGGAAAAAACCCAAAATAATTCAGACAGGGAAAGTAAGCTAGAAATGAAAGAAATTAATCCCAATCTTTTAACAAAACATCTTAAAAGAACAGAAATAAGTTGGGTGAATTAGTAGATCATAAAATCACTCAAGAATTCAGAATACAGTTCCCTGTTTCACCAAAAATCATATGATCACAATCTTATCAAAATACAAATCTGAATGTTGCATTTTGTGTTTTATAGTCCCAGTCTTGATCTGAAGAAATTGTTATGCATTTTGTGTTCTAGGTCACTTTAGAATTTCATCAGATCATAGATGGCAGGTGTAATAACCTGTAGAAAACTTTACAAAACATCCAGAACTGTATATTAATCATTGTGTAGATCAAAATTTGTTGACAGTCTTCTTTCTGGAATATTTTTATTTTTATCCAATAATTTCTGATCATAAGATTTTTGTAACACAGGGACCATATCAATAAAAGATAAGAATTATCAACTTTTAAAATTTGTGCAAAAATTGAAATTAAAATGGCAAATTGTGAAGAAAAACAATTTTCAAATTCAACTTCATCACTCAGTGCTTTTCAAAAACCAAAATTCTAAAGGAATGCATACCTTTACCATGCCTGTTGTCTAGGTTACAAAATAAATAAATAAATATTCCATTCAAAAAAAAGTTAAAAGGGCAAAATAAACATAATTGCCAGTCAAGGTATGAGACTAAGTTCGTAATAGCTTGACATAGTGATGATGCCCTCAAGACTGGATCCATATAAAACACAGCCCACAGCAAGTTCCAAACCTAAAACCCTTTTGGCACCTGACCAGGTAGGAAGCCAGTCACCCTAGTATTAGTAGCCTACTTGTGTTAGGTTAGTAAACAATGCCTTGGTCTTCAAATCGTGTATCCCATTCCAATTTCCTAGTTTACAAAGTTATTGGAAACATAAATACACATCATGTTCAATCAAGAAGAAATTGGTGACTATATGTTTTAACAAAACAAGACATCTACCCGGCACTACATTATTATCTGACCAAATTTTTACAACTGATAACTTGTTCCTCTCTAGGTTGACTTAATGGCAAACTTACTATGAAATTTTTTACACCCTCTAGATTGGCTGTACTAATAGCCTTGGCATTGGCAATCTAACAGTCCTTTACATCCTCTAGGCTGGCTTACTACAACCCAATACACCCTCTAAATTGGCCTGTATCTCTTAGATGCTATCTTTCATATATGGCCCTTTATATTCCCTAAATCTTGCTCACTGTAATCTTTCACATCCTCTCTGATGGCTACCTGTAGTATCTCCTTCAGTTCTATGTAACTATAGACTAGATTCCCTGCTTTTGTTATTACTAAGACGTCAAATAAAGAGTAAATATTAGGCTATCCATTCTTACATTCTTAACACTTATAGATTCTCTCACACTATAGTGATTACTAGTTGTTTATGGTTGTGAATAATAGTAGTGGTCATGAGTTCTAAACACAACTCACAGCTCAGTTACAAGAGAGTTACGTTCCTAACTTATGACTGTTATACTTGTTCACAAACATAAACAACTAGTAATCACTATAAGAAGAAAATTATTAGTACATGTATATCTCTTACCTTTTCCCCCATTTCAGTTGAATAATGAGGAAGGCCACCCCTAGTATAATACACAAGCTACCCACTACCAGATAGGCGATACCCAGAAATGGGTTCTTACCACCCAACCATGAGGTAGTGGTCAAAACAAACTTTTTACTTCCTTCAAAAGCTGTTACTGGATATGCTACAATGAAATAAAATAAAGTTATTAAAACCTTGTTGAAACATATAGCAGCATTTCTTTTATTGAGAGAAATTCCAATTCATATCACCTTATCTCTTAAGTTTGAGATAAACTAGGATTTTTAAATAACTCTCCCACCACCAATGTGATTCATGATAACTCTATTATAAATTAGGAATAATTAGTCATGTTCCAATTGTTGTTGACAATCAATTACCGGTTGTTGAAAGTCAAAACGTGCTAAAAATCGATCGTTGGCGAATAATTCAAAAAGACAGTTCATGTTGTTTTTTTGTTTATTTTGCGTTGATTAAAAAAATATAAATTTGCACTTTGTGTTGAGTATTGACTGAAATTATTTATAAATTGTTATTTAATCGTGAACACTTTACATAAACCACATCAAATGTAGCGTGTCTCTATTATCAATTGATTCCACAATCGATTATGCTTCTCCAATTATTATTTCTTCTGATTACCTATCACTAGGAATGATCTGGGAATATTTGGAATACTTGTTCACAAGACGTCCTGATGAGCTAGTCTACAGGTGATCCCGATAATTCGTTCTTTATGAACAAGAACCTAGACTCACCATAATTAATAGAGATCAAATATTGTCCTTCTTTTAAACCATCTTTAAACTCAGACTGGGAGTGGTCAATACGTCGGTAGAGTTTACGGAATGAAGGTAGCGCTGCTGTTCTCATCCACACAATCAAATCTTCGTTAACATACCCATTGTTATTGTCTGTTGTATTATCCAGTTCCCACACTGGGTTTTTCCAATTTGGTGGCTTGAGAAGATTACTGCCCCAACCTGAAAGTAAAATTAACATTGTGTCATGTACATTAAAGTACATCAAGTCTTTGATTTTTGTTTTTCAAACATATAAATTTTTGTTAAAAATTTTTTTTTGGAGTTTTGAGAGCAATATTCAATTAAGATTGAAAATTTCATTAATAGCAAGTGAATGTATAAATCTTTATTAAGGTTTCAGCCAATCCAAGTATAAACTATATAAAACTTACTGGCAGGGTTTTGAAATTTAACAGTTTTATCCGAGATCCAAGCTATACCAGTTTTCAACAAGTTGACAGAGATATTTCCTGGATTATCAGTCGTACCACGATATGTTAAACTGAATGAATCTGAAAACATACACAAGTTATAAATAAATTCATAACTGTCAAAACTGTTCATAACAATATCCTACTAGAACCAATACAGTCATCTACCTTTATACAGTATAGAGAGAACCTGATCGAGCTGGTAGAGTAAACAGTTAACAAGTAGAGTAAACAGTTAACAAGTAGAGTAAACAGTTAACAAGTAGAGTAAACAGTTAACAAGTAGAGTAAACAGTTAACAAGTAGAGTAAACAGTTAACAAGTAGATTACACAGTTAACAAGTAGAGTAAACAGTTAACAAGTATTTTTGGTTAAATCTTATAGAGGCAATATTTATAGATGAGCCAACACAAGAGCCAAGACAGGTTTACATCTGTGAAGCTTAAACAACGCTTCCACAGTTAGAATCTCAACCTAAGTAGAGTTGTCCCTCAATTTGTATCCCAATTTGCATGTAGCTGACACCCAAACTGTGTACAACCTGCAACTCCTGTACATACCATTGAACAAGCTGTTAGCAATAGCCCCACATGGTGCATACCCAAAACTTGAATTTCCCTTCAGTGTTTTATAGGGTACACAATCATCGTTTAAATTAGCTACGCTGACATCCTGACCGTTCAGTTGGTTATCATCTCGAGATCTGACGTAGCGACGATGATTCTGGTAAAAATTCTTTAAACCATAATACATATACACAGTTCCCTGGAAGCAATATAAATAAAATAAGCTTATGACAAAAATACTTTTATACTAAGTGATACACAGTTCCCTAAAAATACATAGCAATGTAAATAAAATATAACACAAAAATCCTTTTAAGATTCAAAGCTACCAATACAGTTCCTTATACCTCATATACCTCAAGTTCTATGTCTGTGTAGTGGAAAATTTACCTCCATTTCCAAAAGTAGCTATCCTGATGAGTATTTTGTATCTGGAACATGTGTCTGCAGTATGAGAGGAGCTCTGGTCAAATAGACGAAACTATAAGATATGAATCGAGTACAAACCTGGAATTCTGAAAGATTCACCAAATATTCACACTGACAGACTAGCCCAGTGTTGTTAGGATTATCAAAAAACTCGGCACAAGTTTCATTAGGGTTGGTTTTACTCTTACACATTGTATAATCTAACTCATATTCTGTTATCTGAAATTATTAGAGAAACTGGAAATAAAAATGGGGTAATTATCCAATTTTTCTGACTGTATTGAGTTAAACAGTCTACTGTTGATTATTTTATTGGTTGTACCTCATTGGACTAATGAAATGAAATGGAGTTTTATATCAACTTGTTTGAGCTAATGAAATGAAATAGAGTTTTATTACTGTTGTGTACCTCATTGGACTAATGAAATGAAATGGAGTTTTATATCAACTTGTTTGAGCTAATGAAATGAAATGGAGTTTTTCTGTCTGCTATGTACCATATTGGACTAAGATAGCTCAAGACTCAAGCTTATCTGTCCTTTAAAAAAGGGTACAGATCCCTTTCAGATATTGGGATAACTTACATTGTTAGAGGTAACAAGAAGGGCCACACCCAGTGGTATAAAAGCTATACCAATAGCAAAGAAAGCAGGGAGTACGGTATTAGCTGTTAGAATAGGCTGCCATGCTGGAAGTTTCTGCTGCTTGAATTTTGTATCTGAAAGAAAGGGAGAATGAATGAATGAATAAATGAATGAATTTAAAGGATAATTACCTAGACCTCAACCGATACAGTAGTCTACAAGGTCCCTTTTTACACAAATTATTCAATCAATTTTGTCATACAACAATATTTTTTGTTTGAAACAGGGTCCAGATTACACAGGCCATCCATTGCCTAGATTCAAGAACAAATAGGCTATTATAACTTGTAATAATTTCAAGATCTGAGCAAATGAATGCCAATATATTGTCCTAATTTGAGTGGGCTTAGTAAAAAATTATCTAGCTATTAATCATTAAGCATCATGAATTAATAACCATAATGATGAGACAGTGTCTAGGACTCTATCAGCCCATATATTGATTGTGAAATAACAACATCAAAACAAACAGGAACTTGAGGAAGAAAATCATGTGAAACACGATCAAAATGGCGATATCCTCCATCAATTTTAGCTAGATTCGAAGACCTACTCTCTTTCTTTACATCAGCTGTAAATTCATTAAAATTAGTTTACCTTTAGGCCTTCTACTTTTAGGTTTTTCATCTTGAGGACTGCTGGTTGGTGTTCCAGGCGCCATCTTGAAAACAGCGTTAACTGTCAATATCTGGTGTAAGGGAAATAACTCTATTTAACGCTTTGTTAATATCAGACCACAGTTAATTCATTTTCTTGTTAATTCTGCTAAATTACAAAAAGGATCAACCGAGAGAGCAACATATGTGATTTTTCTGTTTTAGAATTTTAAAATTACTCGGCCGAGACATTTGATTAAAAAAAAGAAATTAAATACATTGAAAATATACGTCCGAGAAACTCCAGTTAGTCTCCTTGGAGAGGGTCTTAGAGAAATGAACCATTTTCGTGGAATACCCCACATCTCAAATATCAAAAAACTGGATTGAAAGCAGCCTTGGCTTTTGAAGGACAATTTTGCATTCAGTTTCTGTCACTTACATCGTCATGTACTCTCTGACCCTCTCCAAAGAGTCTCGCCATAAAAATAATCTGTCGGAGCCTGCAAATAGAGCAAGCGTTTCCCCAACTATGAACAACTATAACTGGCTCTGACACTTCGCTTTACCTTTTAGAAAGGGTGCGGGGTAGGGGGTGAGGGGAAGGGGGGAGGGGGTAATTTATAGTCTGAAACTAAGTCTGACCATAATAAAAGGAGAAGCCATGTTTATATTGTAATAAGCTACTGTAACAATATAGTGTTAGTATTTTTAATGATACAATAGACCCAATGAGGTATGAAGAAATTGACAGGTCCAATCAGATCATTCAACCAGAATTTACTTTTTATAACTGATCAAAGACTAGGGGCGGATACCCCTAAATCGTTGAGACGAGGAGTTAACTCTGGATCCATCTATCGGACCAATATTACTTTTGTCTAACAGAGAGCCATTTCCGATTTCATTCTGACCACCCAAAACAACTACATACGCATTTAAGCCCCGAATTCAACATATCACCTTTGGGGTAGTTAGGATAGTTATTGGAATACTTGTTTTATAAACTTTTTGAAGATGTCATTGACGAATGGGTACATACCCAAAACGCGATGGTTATTATTAATGAATGTATTGATTAAATTGTTTGGATTTTACATGTAACTCGATTCATTTTATCATTTTTTGCCTTAAACTTTGCAACACAACAGGTTTTTGTGATAAGTTCGGCCCTTGTTGGGATCCGCCTAAACACAACTTGCTATATCCATTAGCACCCTGTACACACAATACCACGGGGGTCAATAAGGGTTTTAAAAGGCTTGATTTCTTTTATCATTGATTATCCTTGATTGCATTGTGTTACATTGTATTATAGTTGTTAATCAGACCCCTACCTGATCCCCTAATCACTGGTACCCCTCAACCACCGGGCACCTTGCCAAATGTTACACTGCAGTGAAAGGAGCTATATTCATTGGGACTCGTGTGAGCGATTTTTGTGAACGGTAGTTTCGATATATGATCGTTTTTTAACTGTTAATTCTATTCGTGAGGCATTTCAACTGACGTCGGAGTGTATGTTTTGAGGTTTTGAAGGTAGCCTAGTCCTTGGGAAGGAACAGTAATTCTATCAACAGTGTGGACAGGCCATTTTTGAATTCTACTATATAGGATTCGTCAGTTTTGACTCAGGTGTATTTTCAATGTACAGGTAATTCAATTAAACGGATTTACCTGAACTGCGGTTTCCACGTGAACTCAAGTTAAAACCCTGTATTACTAGATCCTGTTACACCAGTTGAAGAGGGATAACTTCCGTAACAGGATAACTTTCGCTCATTTACAGAACTCTTTCACCAAAGGACTTAAAAGGTTCCGTGGAAGGTGCTCAGGTTCGGATTTTGAAGGAAATTCCAATTTTGTGACTCCGTGAACCTTGTGGTATAGGTCCTAAAAGTGATGTTTTTAATTTGACAATTTTTGGATGTTTTTTAATCTTTTAAACTGAAAAAGGGACGTGGACTACGAAAACTCTCTCTTGTGTCATCAGCAATAGCCAACTTTTGAATTTTGATTATCATTGGACCTCTTTGCTTTGTTTCCACCCTTTTTCAGTAATATAAAACCCGATGTTTTTACTTCCCGATTGTCCCTTGGCTTGTTGACAATTTTTATGAACTGTGTAAGCGGGCCATCATAAAAACAAAGCCATACTGTGAATTATTTTAAAGGCTTATTTCATAACAGTTTCACGTTTTGTTTTTAAATGGACTTGGCAAGAGGAACAGTTTTTATTTATCTGTAAAGGGTCTCATTGTTTTATTTGTGGACTAGAATTAAACAGACTAAGTGGAAAGTTGGAGTGTTTTATTTGTAAAGGTGTATGAAATCATCGGAAAAGACCCCAAACTGACCAGATTGAGACGAAATCAGCAATAGAATATATTGAAGATTATAGTCAGGTAAGGACATCATTATTAATATAGATATCGCTTTATTGAATAATATTCACTGGTTGTATGCAACGTTTCGACATATTTCTTCTATGTCAGTGAATGCCGCAATTTCATTGTTTGAATGGTTTCAAGTTGAACTGAACGTGTATTACAATGTATCTAGGAACAAGATGAACAAGTGGATTGACACTTCGATTTCACAACAAAATAATCAATAAGACCCTTTAAATAACCTAGAGTGAAAGGTATTAGGGGGTTTCCCATTATTGAAGAGATTTACTTACATAGTGTGTCTATACAACAGCTCTATTAACAATAAACCCCTATAATAATACACTATACTAGGCCAATAATAACACGTTATAATACGACTTTTATTATCAACTTTTAAAGGGAAAAATTCAATGTCTTTGTTGTAATAAATGTAAGTTGAATAAACCGAACCCTTTTTTATATATAAAAGGTTAATTAAAGGTAATAGAAATGTTAAAACTTAAAATAGATCACTTAAAGCATAAAGTAATAAAGTTATGCACTCTACTGAAAATATTTGAGCTTTTAAAGCCGATTTAGACTCTACCAATGCACAAAAATGTTTGAACAATACTCTTAGTGTTATATGGTGATGAGAACATAGTCTCAGGAAAGCACTGGCCTGGGTCACAAAGTAAAAATTTATGATAAAACAAGGTGCAAGTTAAAGGTTAAGATAATTAGATATGTTAACTAAGGATGTTTCTGTAATACTATCTGTGGTAGTATCAAAGGTTTAGATAATTAGATATGTTAACTAAGGATGTTTCTGTATTACTATCTGTGGTAGTATCAAAGGTTAAGATAATTAGATATGTTAACTATGGATGTTTCTGTAATACTATCTGTGGTAGTATCAAAGGTTTAGATAATTAGATATGTTAACTAAGGATGTTTCTGTAATACTATCTGTGGTAGTATCAAAGGTTTAGATAATTAGATATGTTAACTAAGGATGTTTCTGTATTACTATCTGTGGTAGTATCAAAGGTTAAGATAATTAGATATGTTAACTAAGGATGTTTCTGTAATACTATCTGTGGTAGTATCAAAGGTTAAGATAATTAGATATGTTAACTATGGATGTCTCTGTAATACTATCTATGGTAGTATCAAAGGTTAAGATAATTAGATATGTTAACTATGGATGTCTCTGTAATACTATCTGTGGTAGTATCAAAGGTTAAGATAATTAGATATGTTAACTATGGATGTCTCTGTAATACTATCTGTGGTAGTATCAAAGGTTAAGATAATTAGATATGTTAACTAATGATGTCTCTGTAATACTATCTGTGGTAGTATCAAAGGTTAAGATAATTAGATATGTTAACTAAGGATGTCTCTGTAATACTATCTGTGGTAGTATTAAAGGTTAGGATAATTAGATATGTTAACTAAGGATGTCTCTGTAATACTATCTGTGGTAGTATTAAAGGTTAAGATAATTAGATATGTTAACTAAGGATGTCTCTGTTATACTATCTGTGGTAGTATCTAAGGTTAAGATAATTAGATATGTTAACTAAGGATGTCTCTGTAATACTATCTGTGGTAGTATCAAAGGTTAAGATAATTAGATATGTTAACTATGGATGTCTCTGTAATACTATCTGTGGTAGTATCAAAGTTTAAGATAATTAGATATGTTAACTCTGGATGTCTCTGTAATACTATCTATGGTAGTATCAAAGGTTAAGATAATTAGATATGTTAACTAAGGATGTTTCTGTAATACTATCTGTGGTAGTATCAAAGGTTAAGATAATTAGATATGTTAACTAAGGATGTTTCTGTAATACTATCTATGTCTCTGTAATACTATCTGTGGTAGTATCAAAGGTTAAGATAATTAGATATGTTAACTAAAGATGTCTCTGTAATACTATCTGTGGTAGTATTAAAGGTTAGGATAATTAGATATGTTAACTAAGGATGTCTCTGTAATACTATCTGTGGTAGTATCAAAGGTTAAGATAATTAGATATGTTAACTAAGGATGTCTCTGTAATACTATCTGTGGTAGTATCAAAGGTTAAGATAATTAGATATGTTAACTAAGGATGTCTATGTAATACTATCTGTGGTAGTATCAAAGGTTAAGATAATTAGATATGTTAACTAAGGATGTCTCTGTAATACTATCTGTGGTAGTATCAAAGGTTAAGATAATTAGATATGTTAACTAAGGATGTCTCTGTAATACTATCTGTGGTAGTATCATTTCTTTAATTGAAATAGCCTTAGTCTTACCAGCAACTGTTTATATAATTCAACAATCTATAGGCCTAACAACTCATTTGTAAATTAACATGTTGTAAATTTGATACTGAATAAGTCATCTTTTCTCATTATTCTAGCTAAAAAAAGTTTTTTTCACTTTTTTTTCACCAGTTTGCTTGTTTGTAAAACTATCCCACCGTCTTTAAAAAGTAAACGGTTGATCTACCTACGGATTATCTCCTCTAACTACCAGAGCGCAATGACCATTTCAACAAGTTCTAACTATTTACATTCATATAACCGTAACGGAAAGTATACCAAATATAATTTACTTACTATGTGGACTCTCTTAAAGAGGTGCGAACTAGTGGATCGTAGTCCGAGTTGTACACTCTATAGGACTCTTTAAGGGATATTGAGTTGACGAA